TGTCCTCCATGCCATATTTTGCTGTTATTACTTCCTTCCATAGAGATACTTCTGGTGAGGCAAATTTCCACAACCATTTCATCATCAAACTCTTATTCTGCATACTCAGATCTCTGATGTTGAGTCCACCCCCTCTCTTGCTAACTAGCAACTCCTCCCATTTGACCAAATGATACTTCTTCTTATCTTCACTGCCTTTCCATAGAAAGTTCCTCCTAATTGCATCTAACCTCTTGGTTACTTTGGCTGGAATAGGGAATATTGACATCATGTATGATGGCAAGGCATCCAGGACACTGTTAACAAGAGTTAGTCTGCCACCTGAGGATAGATATTGACACTTCCAATTCACGAGCTTCCTTTCACACTTTTTCAATTACACCACTCCATATTCCACTTGATTTGCTCTTAGCCCCCAAAGGCATTCCCAAGTAGGTTGTTGGTAGTTCACCTACTTTCCCTCCAAGCTTGTAAGCTAAGTCCTCAATATTTGGTACTGTGTTTACTGGATAAATGAAACTCTTGTTCCAGTTTATGTGCAAACCTGACACAGCCTCAAAAATATTTAAAATGACTCTCAAAATTAGCATGTGCTCCTTTACAGCTCCACAAAATACTAAAGTGTCATCTGCATACTGTAGATGAGTGATCTCTAGATTGTTTCTTGTATTCTCCCCCACTTTGAAACCTCTGATTTCTTATCATTTTGAATTTGCTAAAACACTAGCACACTGATATTTTGCTTTATTATTGCCAGTAAGTATAAGTATGAACTGCAAAAGAAGAAAAAGGAGCAGCAAAAGAAAAATGCTGGTACATGTCTTACCTTTTAGAAGTTTCTTTTCTTTTGAAACAAGAGATCCCATGTAACTTCCTTTTACCAACAATTTTTTTTCGATGACAGCCAGCCGCATGGATTTGAAGGAGCTCAAAATGGGGTAAGGTTCCATATCATGTATACTTAACACTGATATTTATTGAGAAATTATTAGCTTTTTATGGTTCCGTCCCTTCATTAGATGGCTACTCAGTGAAAAGTTGTGATACTATGGCCATATTTTCTTCCTTCCTTTTTTTGGCGGTTCAGTATTAAAGCTATTCTATATTTGATATGATGTTTTTGTGCATTCTATGGATGAGTGCCTTACATACAAATGCAAAATAATGAGACCTCTATATGTTCATCCATCAAATCCTGAGAGGTGTCTCTTATTTTGTCTTCCATTGGACTATGTTGTAATGCAGAAACGGTTTGTCTCATCAACTTACTACTTTTTTGGCCAATGAGAGAAAGTGCATTAAGTGTTCCCTGTGTTCATACACTTTCCTAATGGTGATAAAAGGGTCTTATCTTTTCCAATGTACCAAAAAAAGAAAGAATGATAAGGGTCTCATGAAAAAGTGGTGAAAAGGGGAATTTCTAATATTGTAGTTCTCAGCATTCTAGTTAAGACTGAATTTACCAGGAAGAAAAGTTATTCCTGTTGTTAGGTTTAACACACGGTAACCATTTCAATGTTAATGTTTCTCTGAAGTAAAAGACCAACATCCTTACTGTAATATGTTGTAGTATATGGTACATTGTTTATATCCTGTTTTCCCACTTCTGTTTGGTTTGGTCTTCTTTCTGGTATTTGAAGGTTTCTTTTGATATTGCAGTTATAATATTGATTCTCACGATTATTCAGTGCGTTTGAAAGCTGCTCAGAAGTTCTTGAAAGATGGTGACAAGGTAGCTCGGAATCATGTATTTTCAGCATGCAGTCACTTTAGAGAATTTGGTGGTTTAATGTTTAAATGTTATTTATTGGTACTTCCTGCAGGTAAAAATCATAGTGAACTTAAAAGGCCGTGAAAATGAGTTCAGAAATAATGCTATTGAGCTACTTAGGCGTTTTCAGAATGATGTTGGTGAGGTAAGCATGATTTTTTTTCTCGCGCAAAAAGTAAATATTAGTCGTGATGCACTGTGCCTGCAGTGTCCAGAAGATGTAAATAGGTTTAAAAGCGTGAACACTAAGATCACAACCTGGTCCTTTAATATGAAAACATACATGAGAAGGTATTGGTAAAACCCAAGATATATTCAGTATAGTAATTCTGAAAGTCTTGCCATTTTCGGTACTAAACGAAGATGGTTACGAATTTTATCTGCTAGATCATGACTACAGCATTGTTGATTCTTTCTTAGAGGCGATCAATCATCACATCAGAAGAAAATATTTGTGGAAAAAGTAAACAAGGAGTAATGGATAGTAATCGAACATTGTAAACAACATAAATTGGTCTAAGTCCATTAATTCCATGTCTTCAATGAACTCTGAGAGATCTGTCATTGACCTGCTGATTCTACTGCAGTTGAACTTCTCAGAAGGATATCTCACTGTATTGAAATCCCCACATAAGACCCAAGGACCTGTAAATAGACCTCTAGCTGCCCCCACTTCCCACCATGTTTCTTCCCTTTCAACTCTGTCATTTGGGGCGTATACTCCCGTTAAGTTCCATTTAAAATCCTGGTTTTTGCCAGAGAAACAACATGAAACTGAGTATGCTCCTACACTACTTACTTCCCCTTCCATATTCTTTTATCCCACATAATTAGTATGCCTCCCCTAGTCCCACTAGCTTCTAATTGCACATAATCTGCCCATCTACTACCCCAAATTTCTTTAACTATGTTTGCAATCTCCCCCTCCAGTTTTGCCTCTTGAAAACACACAACATCTGCTTTCCAGATTCTTAACATATTCCTAATCATACACCTTTTCTTCCCACAATTCAGTCCCTCACATTCCAAGAAACAATGTTTAAATTCATTGATCCCTGATGGACAAATACCCCCCTTTACTTCTAGAGCCATTGTTGTGAAACTTAGAATTTTAACCCCAAATTCCAAGCTCAGTTTGATTATATTTTGTTGTATCCATTCTGAGGTGTTCAGTGTGTTATAGTCTTCCTCTGGGAATTGGATGCCCAGTGGAATAACATCCTCTGCTCCTCCATTTGTATTCTCCTCTGCAAATGATTGTACCATTATCGCTGTACTTTTCTCCCCCAATTCTTTCTTATTTTTTCCAGGCGTGTCTACCATATGTCTCGCAACTTCCAGTTCCCCATCGTCCCTATTTCATGGTGTAATCTGGCTTTGAGCTTTATTTTCCTTCGTTTGATTATGAGAAAATAGTCATAGGAAAGATGCACAGTATAAACCAGATTGGAGAGGACAAGACTCCAGAAAATATTAGTTTTGATTCTTAATTACATAATACTAATAACTAATCCTAATTACATATATATAGAGAACATAAAAGGATAAGACTGACACTATAAACTATAAACTAGGAATAATAACTGCTAGACAACTGTTGTAGCAGTTGTTTGTCCAGAATTCAACTCTTTATTCTTTTGTCGATATTTTCTTCTAAAATACGTCTTGAGAGGTGGGTTGGTATCATGCTCAAAATCAAAACATGCTCATGTGTCGAAGTATTAGATTTGATGGCTGAAAGTGGTCATAATCCGAGAAATAAAATTATATGGGTAGGGTCGGAATAATGGCATGACCCTATTGAGAAAGAGAATTATATGGGTATTGAAATGATAGCACGACCCTATTGAAAAAGAGATATATTATGGGACGGTCGGATTGATGGCACCACCCTATTGAAAAAGAGAAATTATATGGGTAGGGTCGGAATGATGGACAACCCTACGCAAATCAAATTTGAGGAGACACCGGAAAGACGAATGGAACTAAGCAAGTCAAATCTGAGGAGACACCGAAAAGACACATGGTGCTATGCAACTCAAATATGAGAAAGTAGTCAGAAAAATCCATGGTACTACGCAAATTAAATATGAAAAATAGTCCGAAGTGATGCACGGTGCTACGCATATCAGATATGAAAAAAGTAGACACCGAAAAGATGGCATGGTGCTACACAAATTAAATATGAAAAAGTAGTCATCAAAAGAATGGCACGGTGCTACACATTTAAGATATGAGAAAGTAGTCACCGGAATGATAGCACGGTGCTACACAAATCAGATATGAGAAAGTACTCGCCGAAATGATGGCACGGTGCTACACAAATTAATTATGAGAAAATAGTCATAGGAAAGATACACAGTGACCCAAATTTTGTTAACATAATCGTAGGTCAGACGAGCAGCAATATGGGTAATAGCGGCCCGCCGGCAGCGGAAGCTCTTTGATTGTTTACCAAGATCGTAGAGGTTCCGATACCATGTGAGAAATATTGGAGAAGAATATTATTAAATTGTTGTGTCTACATTATTACACAAAGAACCAATTTATAAACACTACAATACAATCCTTTACCAAGTAGGATATTATTTACTATTCCTATTCCTATTCCAAGTAGGATTGTATATACCCATTCCTATTCTAACAATATAAAAGTGGAGAAATTATTACCTCAATGGTAGGTCAAGTTCATGTTGGTGAAAACAAGTGTACAACCAACAAATGCTTTATTCATTTCTTGTTATGTACAAAATTAAAATGAAAAGTCAATTGTTTGGTCTATTAAGTAAAGAGACAAAGTTTGCATTAACTACACCGCATGTACAGAATATTGAAAAACAAAACACCAAATGGAGGACAATTTTAATGAGTGAGCCTAAACTAGTATTAGACTATGTTACATGAACTCGTTTAAGAGTACCTTCCTGATATTAGTTGTATCGAAGTATACAATATGATATTATGTTGTTTTTTACTAAAATCTAGCTCATTTTGAAGAATTAGACAGAGTAACTGTACCGATATAACATACCTTTGACATACACATCAACACAACATAAGGCATAATCATGCAATTAATAAGAGCAAACTAGAGGAACAAAGAATGAAAAGACTAGCTCAGAAGCACAACCTCATATGTCATTATTTTCCACTTCTCTCCACAAGCTTTCCCAATCTGCAGCATGATAGAAACGTAAAACATCATAGAAAAAATGCGAGAAAAATACCATAAATAATCCAAACTAGTTAAAACAAGGAAATATACTAGGCCGAATCCTTCTTTTTTTTAAATTATTTTTATACTAGACCGAATGTAGATTCAAGAGACACATACATCTCGCATTGACCTGACGTCTGGATTTTGCTCCTGGAATTCCTTACGGAAGTCCTCCCTGGAAATAGATGGGAATATTTAATTAGCAGAATATATTAAAGTGGGCATTTTTTTGAGCTTCAATGAATCTAATTATATGCAACAAAAGTCTAGTTGGGAACACACACAAACACTAGATACGAAACAAAAGAATCTTGTGAATATCTCAATGAAGACACAATTACGTAAATAAAAAGTGGTTCAAGCTCTAGATTAGCACAATCTTAATCAGAGCATAACCGGCTCAACATAAAACTTGCTATTGGATTACCTTCATTAGAAAAAGCTCTCTTCAAATAGTCTTTTTGACTGAAGTCAAGTGTTTACCTAAATTATTAAAGGACTACTTTAAATCTCCCTTGAATTTCTTTTTTTTTTTTTAAAGTACCCAATGTTGGAATTGAAGAAAAAGAATTTGATAGCCTATGAAGGAAGAAAATAACAGCGGCGGAAGAAGCTGGGAAGGATGCACCAGAAGCTCATAGAAAAAGATTTTAAAAAGTTTAAAAAGCTTTTACATTGTAAATATTTCTTAAATTTTATCATTTTTAGCTTGTGTATTATTTGTTGTGGAATAAATGAAAAAATCCCTACTGAAATATTAAAGATTCTTCTTAAGAATGAGAATTTGAAATCATTTATAATTTACTTTGTCATTATTTTAGTTATGCATAAGTCTATTGTTTTCCTTAGGTCTTTTCGGTTCCTTTTATTGCAAACTCAGCGAGTTAATTATTTTTACTATTTGAACAATATTCTTATCACTATTGTTTTGTAACTTAAAGTTTCAAATGGGGAAGATTTGGATGTTCTATTTTCCCGTGGCATTTACAAGTCTTTCTGCATTACATGGTTAAAATTGTTAAAGGAGAAGAATGTCTCCTCTTTTATCACACTTCCATCAAACGGATGATTATCATAACATATTAACATAAGGCAGTCTATTCTCTAGTTGCACATTGAGTGCGGCAAAAGTCATCTACACATCTAGCATGTAGTTGTTATAACTTTAAGGTTATCTATTTTGGATTTGCACGTGAACAATTCTGAATTCACAACAAAGAAGTTTTTTAAGGACACATTCAACAAACTTTTTTAGTTTGACTTATTTTGTTGAAGGAAGCAAACTAATAATGTGATTTTGTCACAATCATATAATTATATTTATATAATTCTAATTTATGGATTTATAAAAAAAAAAGAAAAAAAAAACTCTAAATCTTATTGCACATAACACAACATCTTACGACAATTTAGATGTGGACGATAATTTTCGGCTCTATTTGCCTTCTTATAAATGATTAGGAATAAAATAATTTTAAGTTTTATAATTGAACAAATAGAAAAAAAATTAAATATGATCAAATAAATTTGATAATATATTTTATGATTTTCTCTCACTTTCAACGTGTTGCGCGGATAAAATACTAGCATGTTTGAGGTGCTAATAACTTCATTCAACTTTATCCTAATCCTATTAAAAATAATATATTAATTATTTATATTAAATTAGTTTAAAATCTACAACATATTTTTGAAAAATGCTAAATAAATAAATAAAATTCATAAAATAAAAGAACATACTTATAGTAAATCAAAGGAATAGAAGATAATCCTTTCTTTTCATCTCGCTGATTTTTCTTTGCACTGAAAATAGTTTATTTTTAAGTGGAATATATTAATTTAATTATGGTGCTTTTTTATTGGTCATTGAAATTCATTTTATTTATTTTTTGCATTCTAATTTATGAACATAGATCCTTACAGCACATGGCTTAGGGTAAGATTTTCATTAGCATCAAGTGTGAAGCACCGTAGTCCACAAACCAAGGGTATTATAGACTGTGAAATACAAGCAAAAGAACTACCACCAATAGAAGTATCACGTTGAGCAATACTGAAGGAACTCATTGTATTCTCCTTCAGATAAATAAAACTGTTGATTACCTGTAGTGTCGGTCTGAGCACATGAGCATAAGCCTATACATTAACTACACCAAGGTCGAGATCTTCCAAAATGACCTCCTCATCATCCATCAATTTTTCATATATTGGATGTTTGAATTTTTGATCATCTCATTAAGGATTTTGAGGTAATCATAAGATCTGAATTTCCAACTCATATTAAAAACATCAAATCCAAGAGATAGGTTGGATTGAAGAGATATCTAAGCAAATAAGTTGGGAGACTGAAAAGTTGTTGGACAACTCCCAAAGAGCAGAAAGCTGCTTTAAGAGACTAGACAAATCAGAAAAATTATCGGAAGAAGGCCAATAGAGTCGCCAGAAGTTGACGAAAACTGGATGATCTAGATAGGAACAGCTCCAAGGAACCAGATCTACCGCTGGAAGTGGCCGACGACCTTCCAAAGAATCAAATCTGTACTTGGAAGCTACTGGACTCACGGGGAAACTCACCTTCAAAATAAAAAGTGATCAGAACTTGAAGAAACTAGCACGGGTTGGCTCGGAGCCACTGGACGAATCCAACAAGAAAAAGAACTGATTGAAGAAGTCGTCGGAAACTGGCTCAAGCATTCGGCGCATGATGTAGATCATGGCGGAAAAAAAACTTCTTTTGTCGGCGCATGGAGGAGATTCTGTCGATGGGCTTTTGTGGGTTTTGGTTACCGGTGCTCTCCGAGGCTGATGGCAATGTTGTTTTTCCCAAACAATTAATGTAAAAAGAAGATAACCACAAACAACAGCTGGTAAGACGCCAGAACTGTGACTATATTTCCAACTGTTCCTCACCAAACTATGATATCATGGGGGAAATAAAGAGTCCAAAAATATTATTAAGATGCATAAACTAATTATTCGCTAAGCCCTATTTTTGATGCAATCTTATTCTAACAAGATAAAACAACTTTTCCTAAGCTCATCAATTCCTTTTCTGGAGGATGATGACAGACCTAACCTGACCAAAAATCCACCAAACCACAGTACAAACACAAAATAGATGCCATAATTTAGAAAAAGTGGAGTCAGGTGTATCAAAAGTTTCAAGTCAATTGATGCTACTAGGACAATAACTAACGCTATGGGTTTTATTGACATAGATATCTTTAAAAACAACTCTTTTTTAGGGTTCAAGTAAACACTAAACAACTTGAAATAGAAAAGAAAAAAAAAACAAAGATATGTGGTACATACAAGAAATAGAAGAAGGCAGTGGGGGGCTTCTTAGGCTTCTTCTTCGATGTGGGTTTGCTCTGCTTCACTCCACCTGCCTTTACTTTCTCCGCTGATTTTACCCTGACACTGCAATTTGTCAACAAAAGAATGGGGAGCACAAATAACCTAAAATCCGTTATAACAACATATTTTTGTTCTTACCTTTTGGTTGCTGTCCTAGAGAGTGAAGTTGAAGTTGAAGTTGAAGCAGAGGAGTTTCGACACTTTGATGAAGCTTTCTTTGCCATTTTCTTTTTTTACCTACGGCCAAACCTCGAATCTCACTCTCACTCTTCCGGAAAGAAGACTTCTCTATTACTACCGCCACTCCCTATGTTTTTTCTTTAACAATACAAATAACCGAAAAGGGTCTAAAATGCCCATAAACTATTTGAAATAGCTCAAATTTATCCTTAAACTATATTTCGGCTCAAATTTATCCTTTCCATCAAACTATTAGGTCAAAATTACCCTTCTTATTAATGGAAGTTGTTAAATGTCATGTGGATACCACATTCCATGTCACATAAGCGCCAATAGGATTCCACTGTCACGTAGACTAATAATTTTCCCTTAATATCTAATTTTCCCCTCAATACGATTTCACTCATTTTCCCTATTTTTCCCCTCATTTCTCCATTTCCCCTAATAGCAGGTGCAGTGTCGGATTGAAACAGCAGGAGACGTAATTGAATTCCTTTTTTATGTTTTATTGTTTTTTCTAGAATTGTAAGCTTTGGAGATGACGAATCTACTCATCTATGATCATGTCGTTTGTATACCAACACTAATTGATTACTTTGAATTTAGTTAATGTCAAGAAAGAGAAATTAAATGAAGTTGTCTTGCTTAAATTTAGTTACAAGTTAATTTTTTAGAATGTTTGTTATTTGGGATTAGAAAACCCATGGAACTATCCGACATTGCACCTGCTATTAGGGGAAATGGAGAAATGAGGGGAAAATTAGGGGAAATGGGTGAAATCGTATTGAGGGGAAAATTAAATATTAGAGGGAAATTATTAGTCTATGTGGCAGTGGAATCCTATTGGCGCTTATATGGCATCCACATGGCATTTAACAATTTTCGTTAATAAGAAGGGTACTTTTGACCCAATAGTTTGACGGGAAGGGTAGATTTGAGCCGAAATATAGTTTGAGGGTATATAGGAGCTATTTCCGATAGTCTAGGGGTATTTTTGAGCCTTTTCCGTACAAACAATAATCATATATCGTAAATATATCATATCATATCATATATCATCATCATCATCATCATCATATATTATTATTAGTGTGAAGCTCCTAACTTTAAAGTTGGATTACTATTTTACCCTTATATTACTCCTAAAATAGATTAAATATTAATATCTATTTAATTAATTAAATATTAAGTAATAGTTATATTTAATGTAACATCCGACAATTTGAAATAACTATGAAGAGGCTTAGAATTGGAAATAATCATTTTTGGAAAGAATTAAAGTTCTGGAAATGTGGTTAAGTATGGGAAAAAAAGTGAGTTTTAGGGCCAACTTTGAGCAGTCATAACTCCTAGCTCAGGATGAATTAGGAGTAGTGCCAGTTATGTTTGCGAAGCTCGTGAAATGATCTTTCCAATGCCATCGAGTTTGCTCGATTCTGAGTTCATATGAGTGAGTTATGCCCTTTGGAAGTTGGGCAGTTGGCAGGGAAATCCGTCTGGAAATTTTAAGGGCATTTTGGTCTTTTCCCTAACCAATTCCTTTGGTTATATTGTTGTGTTAGACTGATTTTTTGATCAGTTTTGTCCCACTTTTAAAGAGTGAGAGTTAGGGCGTGGGAGAGAAGAGAGAAAGAATAAGAGAAAGAGAAGAGCAAGCAAGAAGATCATCGTGGATATCGTCGGGGGTGATCCCTACTAGGTATGTGAGTTCATAGTGTTAGGTTGATCCTTTCCCCCACACGCCAAACTCGTTTTATTTTCGAGAAAAGATTGGTTATGTTGTTGAAGTTGTTGGGTTGTGTTGTTGATTGTGTTGTTGAAGTCCCTTGTTGATTTGGGACATGTTTCCGGTTGTGTTTTTGAGTTGAAATCTATTGTATGTTGAGGGTTTATGATTCTAAGTATTTGGGGCTGGAACCTTTGAGGTTGAGGAGGTTTAGAGTTGGAGAAATGAAGGAGGAAAGTCGAAGTTTTCGGGAAAAGGGGGCTGGGGCGTCGCGCCAGCCAGCGCGCCCAGCAGGGGCTCTGAAGTTTCCCCTATGGGGCGCCGCGCCTAGCAGTGCGCCCCAGCAGTCCTTCTGAGCTTCGAGGGCTGGCGCCCCGCGCCTTGCAGAGCGCCAAGGACGCCAAGTTCCCCCATTCTTTTCACACTTTCTCATGCATGTTCCTTGGTATTGTACCTAGGTTCCATAGTTGTTTCCAACATTCCAAGGTACGTCTAAATGTCAAGAACTCATCCAAAACGTGTGATCATATACCTTGAATCCATAATCCAATTCAAGGAGAGCTAGTTTCTAAGTTAAGTGAAGTCAAGAGTTAAGCCTAGAAGTTAAGTAAGTCAAAGCAAGTTTTTTCAAAGTTGTTCAAGAGCCTTTATTGAACGTTTTTACTTCGTTGTAAAACTCAAGTTTCAAGTCAAGTAAAGGGTATAGAGTTTCAAGTCAAGTAAAGAGTCTCAAGTTTCAAGTTGAGTCAAGAGTTTAAAGTCGAGTCCATTTCTCAAAAGTTATTAAGGAACTATGTATTTCCCAAAGAAGTTTCTAAATGTTTTTACATTTGAGTAAGAAAGGAACATCGATTCCAAGAAAGCCTTGGGGCTAGATTTTGAGTAATTATCTCAACTAAAGAAAGATGTTTTTTAAAATACTTATGAGCTAAAGTATATTTTTTTGGGAGTAGTCTTGAGCACCGAATTGGGGACACGAGTTCATATTAACTCAACTCTCCATAAGAACCATGCGGCCAATATGGGGTTTAACGGGTCATACTTTTTAGATGATCCTGTAAGTTAAGCTAGTGGATCCACTTAGTAAAGTTAGCTTCCTATATCACGGCCAGGTATAGGATGGTCCTTGGGCAACGTGAGGTAAGACGTTGTATCACCACTAGGGCTCATAGTGGTGGTTGTCGGTTAAAGAATCTCCCACAAAACTTATCTTACTTTTATATAAGTAAAGTTGAGTTTGTTATTGTTTATCATTTACGAGCTAAGTTGTTTATACTGTTTTACAAGCTTTATATAGTGCATGTGTCTTATTGCTTTATATATTGAATTCAATTATTCATGAGTCGTACAGAGTCAAGGTAAGTGTTCTCTTGTACTCCTTTCAAGCTTAAGTTGTGGTTTAGTTTTCCAGCTCGCATACTCGTACATTCCATGTACCAATGCCAGTTGGCCTGCATCTTATTATGATGCAGACACAGGTACCCAGGATCAGCATCCGGCACGTCGTTGATCCAGTTGAGCACTCCAGAGTCAGTGGTGAGCCTCCTTGCTTTCCGGAGGACTCGGATATTTTGTGTTCCTAATTTTGTTTTATTAGGATGTTGCGAGGTCTATCTCAGTATTTTAGAGGCTTCATAGACAGTTAGTCAGTTAGTTTTGAGTCTCATCTATGTATATATGTAAATATTCTATTTTGAGACTCGAGTTGCCTTTTTGGGCCAGAGTTTATCAGTTAAGTTGTTTTATAACCTTGCATTGCATAGAGTTATTCTGTTGAGTTAGGTTTCCGCTGAGTTAAGAGAGCCAGGCCAAGGATTCGCTTGGGGCCAGCAATGGTCTCCGGGTGCCGGTCCGGCCCAGGGTGTAGGCTCGGGTAGTGACATTTAAATTCATGCATCAACCAAGATCTTAATGCAATCATATATTCATGTACCTCGACTTAATGCAAGCTATTAAATATGGGTAATGAAGAGTCTAATTGTAACACCCCGAAAATCTAATGACCTAAGCTAGAGCCTAACATGTAGTCTAGTGTCCTAGATGAGTTAAACGTAAAGATTAGAGTCCTAAAATGATCTCCCTAAGTTAGTACTAATGTTTTAGGACTTGCACATCAAGGTGTGACCCCCAAGGGCCCCCCAATGGTATTTGAGGAGGACCCAAGAGAAGGCCCAAAAAGCTGTCAAAACAGCAGGGACCTACGGGCAGGGCACCCATGAGCCGTAGGTGGACCCACGCCCCGTAGATGGGGGTCGTGGGTCGAGACTTAGTCTCCCCATTTTTTTCCCTTAGTCCTCCCCCTTTATGAACCAAATGATGCCTTGCCAGTACGTGGCGTGACCCCACCTACGGACCGTAGGTGGGGGTTTCGTGGGTCACCACCCGAAGCACACTAGTTTTGGCCATTAGGAGGGTTAGGTTGGTAATTTCCTAATTAATTAATTAGGATTTGGGGACGGTTTTTATGGTTTTATAATATATATTTAAGGCTTTTAAGACTAATAACTACCTTTTAACCCCTCATAACTCACAAGACTCAAAACATAACCAACTCTCCTCCCCCAAAGTTTCTCTCTAAGACTCCATTGAAGAGCAAGAGCAAGGTCAAGATTTGGGTTCAAGTTCCAACCTTTTCACTCCAATTTCGTGAAGAAAACGTCAAGCAAGGTATAAGAGTCTTGATTTATGGAAAGTTTCCTTCGATAAAGCCCTTCAACTCTAATTTCAAATTGATAGATTCTTCAATAAAAGTAGGGTTTTCAATCTAGCCATGGGTTCTTCCTAAAAATGATTTCATTGGGTTAATTGTTTTATATTATGGATGATTTGATGTTTAATGGTGATTTTCATAGTAAAATTGCCCATGAACCCATGAATTACCCCATGACCCCAATTTCATGAATTGTGAGGGATGTATTGATGCAAGGTGAATACTATGAATTATTTCTATGGTATTGTAGTTATTGAATCTTGTTTTATTCATGCCTAAAGTAGTATTTCTAGGTGTGATTATGATACATGACTCATGATTCTTGAGGGGTGAAATTATGAAGGTTTATGGATGTTGATTAAAGTTGTGTATGAACGTATGATTCACTTAGAAAGTGAAGATCCTATGACTATTGTGTAAATTGTGGTATTGTTGAAAGATTAGGCTCACATGATCATGTATGAATTGTCTAGGATGATGATAATGATGTTGTGTTGATTGAAAGGCCATTTTCATGAAAACACTATGAAAGTAATGTGAAAGGTTTACTCACATGTTAATGATGATTCTAATTAAGGTTGAAAGTTAGTTCTCACATATTGAATCTATGAGTTGTATTGAATGAAGGGGAAGATATTCCTTCACACATGTAAATGTAATTCAAGACTAACTATGTATAATTTGG